CTCCTGCACCACTAGCCTCCTTTGTCTCCTATTTGCTGTGCCACCTTAGACAAAGAATTGAAGTCCAAAAGGAAGGAAGAGAATGAATGATATTGGGCACTTGCTGCTGCCAAGCACCGTGCTGAGTCCTGCACGTATATAAGCTCATCATATCCTTCCTAACAATTAAAGTGCCACGGGGATAATGGTTTCTGTAGGTGGGAAGGCAGGATCAGAGAGGTTAGGTAACATGCCCAAGGTTACGCAGCTAGTAAAAGGGTGGGCTGGAATTAGAATAATAATGGCAAACATTTATTGGCTTGTGAGCCAAAGTTTTAGGCTAAGTATTTTAATACATGATCTCCCTGAAGTTTCACAGCAACCTTGTGAGGTAAGCATCATTATTGTGTCCAGTTTATAGGGGAAGAACAGATAGGTTTAAGAACCCGGTCAGGAATTAGATTTGCCAACTGGATTGTCCGACTTCAGGGCACCAGCCCTTAACCATGACTTTGCCACGTCCTGGAAACTTGGGCCACTTGATCCAAAACCTGGAAGGATCCTTCTTGATCCAAAACCTGGGTATTTTTCCCCAACCCATGCCACCCCTGGGGGTTATTTCCCCCCACTCTGAGCCTCAGTTTCTTGATTTGTAAAATGGGGAGTGTAGATGAGACCGGGGTCTATTGAGTTCTCAAGCACTTAGACATTCATTAGTTTCAGCCAGTGTGACGTCTTCCTTCTGAGTGCTCATTGTGTGCTTTGGGCCAATGTTTTTTCCAGCTGTGGGGCATAGCCAAATTAGCTCAGTGGGTTGTAACAGGCTTTTAAATTTAAAAATGAAAGAGAGGGGCACCTGGCTGGCTCAGTTGGTGGAGCATGCAACTCTTGATCTCGGGGTTGTGTGAGTTTAAGCCCCATGTTAGGTGGAGAGATTACTTAAAAAAAATAAAATAAAAATATGGGGCGTTTGGGTGGCTCGGTCAGTCAAGTGCCCGGCTCGATCGCAGCTCAGGTCTTGATCTCAGGGTCATGAGTTCAGGCCCCGCGTTGGGCTTCACGCTGGGTGTGGAGCCTGCTTTAAAAAAAAAAGAAAGAAATAGGGTAAGATAGGCAATACCACAGTACGTTGCCCTTTATTAAAGGTAAGAATTATTTGTGAGAAGCTCTTATTTCAAGTACAGATACATGTACTGTGTATATACACAGATAGGTCAACTGGTTTACAGTGCTGACTGCATTTCAAAAGAAATTTGAAATACCCTAAGCTAGAAAGACCCCTCAGGGTCTAAGGCAGCAGTGTCCAGTTGACCTTCCTGTGATTAGTGGAAATATATCTGTACTGTCCGATCGAGTAGCCCCACTAACCATATGTGGTGACCGAGCACTTGCAATGTGTTTGGTGTGGCTAAAAATTCATTTTGTGTTCAACTTAACGAATTCACATAGCCACACGTGGCCAGGTCTAAGTTTCTCTTAGTTCCTCGACCAGGTTGCGCTGGCAAATTTAAATCTTAAAAATGTACGTCGAAGCTGGTAGTCGGCAGGGCGGATGACAATGGGCCAGAGGTGATAAAATCAAAGGATGGATAATCGGCGAGTTAATAATCAGCAAGGTTCTTCGGAGCCTAATTAATGTTTAATTCTAAATAAATTGCAGCATTTAAGAAAAGTAGTGTTTTTGTAGTTCTTTAATGCATTTGCAGAAGAGGATTGTCTTTTATGAGAGTTGGGAAGTGGGTTTTTAAAGAGGCACATGAGGAGGAAGATCTTTCTTCTCGCATCTTTGCAGGGGTTAGGCTCGGAGTTAGACCAACCAGGGGCCTGTGCTCAGTGGTGCTGGGTACCAGTTCTGTAACCTTGCCGCTCTTTGTGCAGTGTGGATAATGAGCACTCTTGTCTCAGGGGCTTTGTGAAGACTAAAGAAAATGCTGCCTGTGGAGTGTTTGGCACTTGGAATAAATGGCAGCTAGCTAGTCCCCAAGGGCAGGTGACCTCACCTCTCCCTGCCTATTTACTTCTCTGTAAAATCAAAATAAAAAGGCTACATCTCAGGGTGGCCGAAACGGTTACATGAGGCCAGACAAGCAAAGTGCTTTGTGGAAGGGGGTCTGGGTAAAATGCTGACTCCTTCCTCCCTTCTCAACTGCAGGGCGAGGCTGCTGTCTCCCCTGGTGTAGGTCATAGGCCTTCTTGGGCCCTCTCTCCATTATCAGGCTGTGCTTGGTTGCTCCTACAGAGTCTGGCTGAGGAACAGGATGTGCTGGGAGTGTGACATGGCTTTTAGTCTCTGCCTTCTAAGGACTTGGGAAAATCAGGGAAACTAAGTGGGAGCAGTCAGAGGGGATTGCTCTTAACCAGTGTGTTCCCGACTTGGAAAGGAGAGGGTGTGTTGTGTGTCGGAAGAATTCAGTCAGGTCTCCGGGAGGGGGCGGGCAGGGCGCGGGCCGGGCGCGAAGCCTTGAAGGACAGGAAAGAGCCCAGTAAAAAATGATTACACACGATGGCTCACAAAACTGCCTCATCTCACACTCCCCTGGCTCACGCTCTGCTCGAGGTTGAGTAAGTGTTTTTTGGCGGCGAAGGAGAGGGAACTGCATGCTCACAGCACGAAGGCCACAGAAAGAGGGGCCTTGAGAGTGTAGACCTGGAGGGGCTGCGACGGGAGGCTGGGAATCTGCGGAGGCGTCGTTAATGGTCCAGACTTGAGATGGTGGCAGTGGCTCTTTGGAGTTGGACAGAGGAGAGTTCCAGAGAGGGACCGATTGCAGAGACATCAGGGAGGTAGAACTGACGGACCGTGGCCCTTGATTGAATGCCAGGCTGAGAGGAGGAGGAGCTACACTGAAGGTGATGCCCCCAGTGAGACGGGGACCCCGGGAGGATGAATAGGTCTGCAGGGAGGACGGGTTGAGTTCCTTTCCGGACACCTCGAGTCTGATGTGGCTGCAGGAGGGACCTCGGGAGCAGGCAGCTCCCTGGACCTGGTGCTCAGGAAAGAGGTCAGGTCACGCTGGGGAGTCCAGCACCAGTTCCTGCTATGGGCACGGAAGAGAAGATCCATTCTTCATCTGCCTCATGACAATTTTGGCAGAGCTGGATTGATCCTTTTGTATAGCCCAAGGACCGGAAGCGGGCCTCCTGCTCCTAGCCCTGTTCATCTGGCAAAAGGTCCAAACGTGGGCATCAGGGATGTGTGGGTGGGTGGGTGGGAAGGCAGGAGAGGAGCTTGGCCCAGCCAGCTTCAAAACCGAGTCAAACAAGTTAGCTGTTCGTGCGGTTATTATTGTCATCCGGGGGATGAGGTCTGGAAGATAGGAGGGAAGCACCGGGCTCTGGTTCAGGGGAGGGACAGCTTGAGCACCACTTCTGTTCACCTCTGTTCCCGGCTCTGTCCTTGCCCAGACCTACGCAGAGATGGACCCCACCACAGCAGCCTTGGAGAAGGAACACGAGGCGGTAAGCAGGGGCCGGGCTCCTGCCCGCGGGCGCTCCCTCGGCCGCCTTCCCTTGCCCCGACTGAGCCAGCCACTGCCCTGCGCTCCCACCTTACTCACAGATCACCAAGGTGAAGTACGTGGACAAGATCCACATCGGGAACTACGAGATCGATGCCTGGTACTTCTCACCGTTCCCTGAAGACTACGGGAAACAGCCCAAGCTGTGGCTCTGCGAGTATTGCCTCAAGTACATGAAATTTGAGAAGAGCTACCGTTTCCACTTGGTGAGCCTGGGCCGGCTGGGCCCGGTGAGAGAGGCGGCCGTGGAGGCTGAGGGGCCGAGGCAGCAGGGATAGGGAAGAGAGACAGGTCCAGCGGAGTTGAGTCCAAGGAAAAGCTGCCCGTGGCTCAAGAGACCCGGGTTCTAGGCCTGGCCTTGCCTCGGCTGGTGTGACCTTGGCCAACTCGCTGCCTTCCCCCAGGCCTCAGTTTCCTCTTCTGTGGAATGGGGACGGTAATCCCCGCCCTTACCACCTCCTCAGGTCACCCCAGACACTACATGTTTATCGAGGCCAGCCCAGTGCGAGGTTCCTCGGGGCAAAAGAGGAAGTGAGCGTAGCCCCTGAGCAATGGGGCTGGAAGGTGGGGACGGATGGGAGGCGTTGGCAGGGGTGGCCCGGGGGTGGGGTGCTGGGGGCTCGCAGGCTAGCGCAGCAGGGCGTTTCCCAGAGGGCGTGACCTGAGGCAAATGTGTGCGCTTTAGGGATTGCCAGTGTCATGGATGAGAGCCCTCCAGAGTCCTCCAGAGCTAGGCTGGCCCGAACTTGAGACCATCTAGCTGTGTGATATTCAAGCCAGTTACTTAGCCTCTCTGCGCCTCGGTTTCTTTATCTGTAAAATAGGCTCTGTCTCCTCAGGTAGTTGGGAGGCTTACTTGATGTAGGTGAAGTACGGAGCCCAGGGTCTGTAGATGGGGAAACAGAAGAGAGACCTGTTGCAAGCCACACAGGGTGGGATGGGGGCACCTAGCAGAAAACCTCAAGGTCTCAAGCCTTTGTCTCCCCGTCCCCACCCCCCAGGGCCAGTGTCAGTGGCGGCAGCCCCCCGGGAAGGAGATCTATCGCAAGAGCAACATCTCTGTGTATGAGGTCGATGGCAAAGACCACAAGGTGAGTTAGGGGGCCGGAAGTGCTGTGGGGAGGTGGGGGGAAGCACCTCCTGGATGATCCTCATTGTCGCCGAAGGGTAGAGGCCAGCCTGAGGACAAGCCCCCACCTGGGAGAGACCTGTGAGGTCATGCTTAGCCTGGCGCTTGGCCTGTGGTTGGTGCCCGGTAAACACCCGGCTCTAGGGCGCCAGCCTGGGGGACAGGGTTTCTGTTCTGTCCCTGAAGACTTTCCTCCTGATGGGGTGGCTTAGGTTGGGGCAGTCCTGGCCCAGAGTAGAGATTGTCATGCCTGAGGCTGCTTCTAGAAGCGCTTTCTCTTTCTGCCTGAAGGCAAGTTTTCTTCCCTGGGAGGGGACGGCTTTTTGTCACTTGCTGCCAGAGAGCTGGGTAGCTCTGGCCGCAGAGTTCCTTGTTTCTGGCAGGAGGACCTCGGTGGGGCAGGGTGGGGCATTTGGGGCCTTGCTTTGCTGCCATTGAGCACCTGGCCTTTGCCTGGTCAGTCTGGGAAGCTCTGACCAAATGTCCCTGTTTCCCAGGGAAGGGGACGGTAGAGGGTAAGGCCTAGAGGGCAGGCTTCTGAGGTGGCTCTTGCTTCAAACAGTGCTGTCATTGACTAGCTGATTGTGGACAAGTGACTTAACGCTGTTTGTTCCTCTTTCCTCATCTGTCGGACAGGAGTCATGGTTATGTTTACCTAATAGGATTGTTGGTGGAACAAATGAGCAATGTCAAGTACTTAAGGCATCAAGTAGGTGTTTAGTAAACATAGGCCTTTGTTATTATTGGTGACCTCCTTGAGTTCAGCCAGCCTTGAGGTAAATAGCTCAAGGGGAATATTGGCTCTTAGCCTGGCCTGGGTCCCCCTGCTTTGCCTTTCATAGCATGAACAGGGGGAGTGGCAGAAAGGGCTCTAGCAGGAGACGTGGGTGTTCTCTCTAACTCTACCCTGTTAACTTTGAAGCCTCGGCCAGGGACTGCCTCTTCCCGGAACCTCAGTTTCCTCCTAGGTAAAATGGGCTAGCAATGCCGGACTTCACAATTGTTGGGTCACGTAAGAGTGGATGTAAAAGGTGTCATAAACCAGAGGGTCTCCTGATCTGTGCCATGAAGCCAACATCAAGGTCTCATTATCCGTCCTGATATTGGTCTCTAGCCTAGGTAGGTGTTTGGGCCTACAGCAAGGAGGCTGCTGAGGCCCAGCAGAAGTGTGTGGCCAAGTGGGCAGACCACTCAGGCTTGGGAATCAGGCTCAAAGCTCATCCATCCAGCAAACATTTACCAAGCACCAGGCTTCATGCTTCGCCCCGTGCTGGGTGTTGGGGATACAGCTACGGATAAGACAGAACGCACTTACCGGTTTGAATCCTGCCCCAGCACTCACCAGCCATGGAGCCTTACACCAGCCACTTAGCTCCTCTGAGCCTCACTTTCCTGATCTGAAACCTAAAAGTTAATGTCCCTGAAGATTGAACTCCTATTTAGCACTCAGAAGTGGTAACTGTGTGGGACGCCTGGCTGGCTCAGTCGGTGGAGCGTGCGACCCCTGCTCTCGGGGTTGTGAGTTCCAGCCCCATGTTGGGTGTAGAGAGGACTTAAAAATAAAATCTTTAAAACAACAACAACAAAAAGAGCTTTTCCTGCCCATGACTCCTGTTCCCATGCTATAACTTAAACAGACACCTTTGGGGCGCCTGGGTGGCTCAGTCGGTTGAGTGTCTGACTCTTGATTTTGGCTCAGGTCATGATCTCGGGGTCATGAGATCCAGCCCTGCACTCAGTGTGGAGTCGGCTTGGGATTCTCATCTCCCTCTGCCCCCCGCCCCGCCCCATTCGCGCACACACACTCTCTAAATAAATAAATAAATAAATAAATAAATAAATAAATAAAATCTTAAAAAAAACACAAAACAAAGCAACTCACCTTTCTGCACGGGGGTTGGGGGAGAAGCGGTCACTGATTAATCGAGCTCTCTGGTTTTTAGTTTCCCTGTCCATCCAGAAAATGACTGTAAGACTCCTTTCGGTTCTAAGCGCTCTTGTTCTGGGGCTGGGGGGGCACTTCTCAGCGGCTCGGCATTGGCTGCTCTCTGAAGGCGGGCGTTTGCAGAGCGGGTGGCGGCCGCTGCCCAGGCCTCCGAGAAGCTAGGTGGGGAGTTATACCTGCTCCCTGAGCCTGCTTCCACCTCCCCTGCCCCTCAGATTTACTGTCAGAACCTGTGTCTGCTCGCCAAGCTTTTCCTGGACCACAAGACCTTGTACTTTGACGTGGAGCCCTTCGTCTTTTACATCCTGACTGAGGTGGACAGGCAGGGGGCCCACATCGTTGGCTACTTCTCGAAGGTGCTGGATTGGGAAGCCCAGGTTGAGGGAGGGTGGGGACTTTGACCGGCAGAAGGGGCCGAACCTCCCCAGAGGTCCTGACCACACACATCCCTGTAGGAGAAGGAGTCTCCAGATGGGAACAATGTGGCCTGCATCCTGACCCTGCCCCCCTACCAGCGCCGTGGTTATGGCAAATTCCTCATTGCTTTCAGTGAGTGGTTCCTAGCCTATGGAGGAAGGGGCAGCTGTGGTGGGGGTGCCATGGCGGGGGAGGGGGAGAGGCGCCAGGGCGGGGCAGGGTCCTCCGAACCCTCCTTTCCACCGCCGCCAGGTTACGAGCTCTCCAAGCTAGAGAGCACGGTCGGCTCCCCTGAGAAGCCGCTGTCCGACCTGGGCAAGCTCAGCTACCGCAGCTACTGGTCTTGGGTCCTGCTGGAGATTCTGCGAGACTTCCGGGGCACACTATCCATCAAGGACCTTAGGTGAGGGCCCTGGAACCCTTAAAGAGGGAAGAACTCTTCCAAGATTGGCCATGATCCCATGTCCTTGTCCCCTTTTGCTGTCCCAGTCCGACCCCACAAGGGAACTCTCCCCAACGTCCGTGCTAATCCCTTTCTGCAGCCAGATGACTAGCATCACCCAGAATGACATCATCAGCACCCTACAGTCCCTCAACATGGTCAAGTACTGGAAGGGCCAGCATGTGATCTGTGTCACACCCAAGCTGGTAGAAGAACACCTCAAAAGTGCCCAGTATAAGAAACCACCCATAACAGGTAGGTGGGGGGCCGCCCAGGGTGTGTGTGGGGGGGGGGGGTAGGTGTTAAGATCTACTGGGAGCCAAAGCTACCTTTTGACTGTTACATGATCCCAAACTGGTCCGACCAGCTCCTGGGACGGAAGCCTGGGGCAGGCTCCTCATTCCCAAGGTTTCCCTGCCCCCTCCCCAGGACTCAGTATGCCCTTGTTCTCGCCTAGAGGTGAAACCTGGCCTGGGCCCAGAGGCCCAGCCCTGCCTCTCATGCCTCTCTCCCCACAGTGGACTCGGTCTGTCTCAAGTGGGCGCCCCCCAAGCACAAGCAAGTCAAACTCTCCAAGAAGTGAGTGGGCTGCGCCCCTGCTGCTGGACCCGTGCCTCCCTGCCCCCCTCCCCCCGCCTGTAAATATGTACAGACCTGTTTCGTCATTTTTTTTAATAAAGTAAGTTCTGCCAGTGGTTCTGGACTTTGGAGGTGGGAGGGAGAGGCCAAGAGCTGATGTTCTTCGCTGCACATGTCACGCACAGCCAGTTGTGCTCAAAACATTTCACTCCTGCTTGTTCTTTCCGTCCCTCACCCCAGGCCCAAGCCCACGCCCAGTTCCGGTGGGGGCTCAGTCCTCCGGAGTCTAGGAGTCGGGCTTCAAGGAGGGCATGGCAGCCAATGGGGCAAGACTGGGGCCTTTTCTGTTCTTAAGAATATGCTGCCCGGAGGCAGCCCCAGCTCAGGAGACAGGAAGAGGGTGAAGGGATGGGGCTCATCAGGCAGAAGGAGCACTCAGGGTGCTGGAGCCAGCCCTTCAGCAGCAATTAACTAGGCAGGTACCCAATCTTCTGGAAACAAAGCGGGGAGCCAGGGCTCATTTTCATCGTTAAGGGTCCTCAGGGGCTCCAGAGGAGCCCAGCCAGCGGGTGGAGGTGGCCAGAGGTTCTAGCCAATACCACAGGTAGTAAAGCCTCTTTGACTGTGGGTTGTAGTCCCAAAGAACGAACCCAGAAGAGAGGGCTCAAAGATCAGGACGGTGCTCTGGGCTCCCACAGGTCCGGGGAGGAAGGAAGGGGTGGCTCGAGCCAGTCCCCCAGGCCCAGAAGATGTCAGGGAAGGGCCAGCTCCGTTCCCGGGCCATGCCTCTGTCCTTGGGTGCAGTGTGGAAGTCCAGGAAGCAGGGTCAGCTCCCAGGATGACTAGCTTAGCAGACGAGGCCCAGGGTCAGGCCCAGTGGCAACAGAAGGACGAGCCCCTGTAAGCCCCAGGCTGGGGCCAAGCTGAAGGCCTGATGGTTGACACAGAGATGGCCATCGGGCTGGGACTCCTGGACCTGGGGCACCGCACGAGGCTGCAGCTCTGTCACGTGATAGTGAATCCAGGTGGCATAGCTGGAGGTCAGAGTGTACACGCCAGGCCTGTTGGGGGCCCCACAGGCATCGCCCCAGCTCACAATGCCTGCCAGGTACCAGAGGCCCCCCACGGGGCAGGAGAGTGGGCCCCCAGAGTCACCCTGAAGACAAAAGCCATAGAGTACTGTTAGGATGGGGCCCCGGGCCTCAGGTCGGCCATGCCAGCCCCTCTGGCCCTCATCTGCCAAAAGGCACTGGTCTCACTGGACCCCCCCTGCATTTACCTGGCAGGCATCCTTGCCCCCCTCCACGTAGCCGGCACACACCATGTCCTGCTGGATAAAGTGGGGCTCGTCAGGCTTGGCGTTGATGTTGTACAGGCAGTTACACGTCTCACGGCTGATCAGTGGTACCTCAAGTTGCTGTAGCTGCCGGGGGACCAGGAGGCTCACTGTGGGAGCAAAAGATGCTTACCCAGGGCCTCCTCCCCTGAGTCAGACACCCCCCCCCAATGCCTCTAGACGTCAGCGCCCACCTCACCTGAGGGCGCCACGTGGCCCCATCCAGTGACAGTACATTGGAGGCCATTGGGGAAGGAGGTGTTGGCTGCAGGGAGGCAGATGGGCCGGATGTAGCGGGAGAAGGTGACGGGCCTCCCGAGCCGGAGAAGCGCGATGTCGCCCTGGGAGCCCTCCTGGCGGTAGCTGGGGTGAGAAATGACCTGGGCCACGGTGCGGACCTCGGCCTCAGGGGTGTAGGAGTCCAGCTGGTGGGCCCCCAGCTTTACCTCATAGTCTTCCTTGAGGTGCTCCCTGCAGGCAGAGGGGCCAAGGCTGGGACCCAGGAGACCTCTCCTAGTTCCCTGATCCCTGTTGGGGATCCCCGTTCCATCCACCCCCAGGTTCTGGTCCCAGGCAAAGGGCCTTTTCGATCCCAAACTGCATATTAGTTTTATCCTGTGACCCGTGACCTCTGGCCTTCACTCCTCACTGATCCTTTCGGACTTAATTATTGCTACCCCTGGACCCAACCCAAGAACTCTAACCTCTGGCCTGGAAGATCCCTGAACTTTGACCTTAGCCCACTTTGACTCCCCCCCGGCGCCCCCCCCCTCCGCCCCCACCACCCGGCTGGTACCTTGGGAAGCAGTGAGCAGCTGAGAGCACCCACTGCTCAGACACGAGAGACCCGCCACACACGTGGGTGCCGTCGTAGGTGATGCTGACCTGCCAGGGCCACTGGCCGGCAGCTGCGCCAGCACCCCCGGTGATGCGTGCTTGGGAGGCCACACCACAGGAGGCTGTCCAGGGAGGAAGGGGAGAGGGTCAGGTCCCTCTGGGGCCCCCCGCACCGGGTTCCTCAGGCCTGCCGCTTCCTGTTGATCTGGTTTGGAGCTTGGGAAGTGAGCTCACGGGAGCCAGCCACCCTTCTGGCCCCATCCCACTGCTCAGTGGGCACGGCTGGTTCTGCCCCCTCACCGTCCTTGTTACCTAGCTCGGGTTTCGTCCAGCTTCCTCTCTCTCAGGTCCTCCTACCTTCCGTTCCGTCCACTCCTCACAAGTCAGAAGATCTTTATAAACCACAGATCTGATCGGGTCACACCTCAGCTTGAATCCTTTCCTGGCTCCACACTGCCCTCCAGATACATTCCCGACCTTCCAGGACGCTACCACCTAGTCCAGCCATCCCTCCGGACACTTCCTGTCACACACACTGGGCCACACACTTGCTTGCCTCTAGACCTCTGCTTATCCAGGTCACTCTGCCGAGCACACCTTTCCTCATCCCTACTCAGCTCAGCAAACCTATTTGCCTACGGAGGTGATTCCAAACGTCAGCCTCTCCTTCAGCTGCCCTCACGGGGCTGGCTGAGTTGGACGATGCTGGGGGCTCCGGCCCCCCACCCCCAACACCGCCCCCTCACACAACTGTTGTGCTGGGGTCTGTGACAGCACAGAATCCGGGCATTCCCCGCTGACGGGGCCTGGAGCAGACCTCCTAGTGCCCCGTGCCCAGCACACGGGGCTGGGCACACAGCCGGAGTCGTGGATGCGTGCTGAACAAACAAGAGGCCTCCCACACTGAGCATCTGGTTTCCGGGACAGCCTCACCCCCACGGAGGCTGCGGCCCTTGGGAGCAGGACCCGACAGCCCTTCCCAAAGTCACCTTCCTCGGAGCAGAGCAAACCGTCCGGCCAAGCTCCTCCTTCTGTCC